GTTGTTTTGAATAACGAAACTATGGTGAAATCAATAAAATAAGGGTACTTTATGATGATTCACAATTATTATTACCATTTTTTTTTAACTGCCCATCAAATATGTGACACCTAGTTATTATGACCAATTCAATGGTGTTGATACTCCATTAATCAAACTTCTTCACCGTTGAATGCTTACCCCCAAAAAAAAAAATTTGAAATTGCTTTATGATTTCAATTCTTCAGAGAATTTATTTTTAATAGAAATTTTAGACCTTGAAAAGGAATTTCCTGTAAAAATCCAAAAAATTGAAAGAAATTAGTCAAGGAAAAAACCAAAGAAGACGTGTGCTGATGTCTCTGTCAACCAATATAGTCCATCTTGAGTCCTCTCAATTTGTTTGCTAGCTCCATTTTAAACCACATGTAATGTATTTGGTAATGTTTTCAATTTCTGTTTTTCTTTCATTTAAAAAAAAATGAAATTGATTTTAAATTTTTCAAAATTTTAAGCCAAAAAAAATGTATTTGTATTATTTATTTATTTTTATCAACGAAAGTCAATGGTTAATTGTTAGATTAGCAACTCGGGAGAGTTCAAACTAAACCTATGCACTTTGTAAGAAAATCTTGTGAAATCCAAGACCACCTCTGAAGAAAGACTTGGCCGCCAAAGGGTTAGCTAATTAGGTTAGAGCCCCTTAGTTAGCTAGAGTCCTTTGGTTATGTATTTGTACGTATTTTTAAAACATATTTTCATTATGTCTTCCTTTTCCCATTATATCCAACCACCACTTCCTGCTTCAAACCGCTACCACTAACGACCATTAGCCATCACCGCACAAGCGACCCTCTAGTAAGTTTCGATCACCTTTCAATTGGTTTTGATGATCAGACAATCACTACACGTGATCTTCAACTATGTTTTAGGAGTTCCTTAACCAACTCATGATCTCTTGACACTACGATCACCAATTCCGATGATTACGTCCAACCGTCCCCACCACCAACCACCTCCACCATTGATCACCATATCCATTCAACCTCCACTGCTAGCCACCATCACAAACAATTCACCAAACTTAATTATGTATTTTTATTTGTATTTATATTTAAAATTTTTGTATATGCTAAACACGCTTATTGTTTTGTTTTTTAAAAGAAAAAAAAGCCGATAACCAATTACAGAACATTATGATCTTATTTAAAAAGTTGACTGTTTTAATTAATCAATTAATTTTTTTTTACTATTTTAACATAGCTAAGAAAATTATATTTGAGAAGCTAATTAACTTTTTTTAAATTAATTTAATGATTTTGAAAGGATAAATGAAATAATTATAAATTAGATATAATATTTTATTTTATTAATTATTTTAATTTATTTTATCTTTATTAACGGTTTAAATTCAAATAACCCTTCCCCAACAAGTTCCATACCTTTTCATCGGAGCAAGGATCCTCTAGAGTGATTTTTCCCTAAAATTTCCTAAAGTGCTATATTGTGTGGTTGAGATTTACTAGCAAGTCACATCAATTTTTCTGATGTGACTTGCCAGTAAATCTCAACCACACAATATAACACTCTAGGAAACTTTAGGAAAATTTTACTCTAGAGGATCCTTGGCGTTTTCATCGAGGTATGTAGATAAAGATAGGAGGGAGAACCATTCCACCGCAATATGTGTGTTGGTGGCACTATCAAACACCAAATAATTTCTTAGGAATATAAGCGTGTGGAACCCACAATATAGGTGACCTTAATATTTAAAGACTTGACTTTGGTAGTGCAGCACGTTAGGTCCAGGTCTTCCTTCATTAGAGGACACAGATTACCAAGGCATATATACGTATGAGGGAAATTTCCAAAATATCATGTGATTTAAATTATTTATGAGTAAATTAGATTGACAACTTGAGATTTTTCTTTTGTACAGATTCTTTCCTCATGTTTTGCAAATTATATTTTTCTTCCAATGATTTTCAATTCCATTACAATTTTCTCCTTCCATTAGTAGTCAACAGTTAGGTTAACTAACAGAAAGAATTGATATCAGCAAATTATTTTTCAAAATACCAATTTTAACCCTAAGTTTTCTCTCTCTACATCTCCTTCCTCCTCTCTGCCTTTAAGCTGCTCCAACCCACTACTAGGTTGGTCCAAACACACCTACATATGTCTATCTCTATGCCCAAAGACACAACAGTAACCCCATGTCCTCTCTCTCCCAACAGCTACACAAGCCATTTTCTGCCACAATCACCACAACCCAATAGCCATGAACACCTACCCCTTATCCCACCTTTAAACACAACAACTGCCCCTCCAAACAAATGAAACATTGTGCAAATCAAAGCCATTGTGAATCAAGCAAATCGGATGGAATTTGAAGAGACTCAAACTCAACAACCAACCATCGCTATTGTTATCAATCGAAGATTTGGGAGAGAGTGGGGGGTTTTGAGAATATAAAATCTATATATATATATATATAAATACATATATGTACATGCAAACAGAGAGAGAAGGACATAGGAAAAGATGAGGGTTGAGGGGATGGGAAGATTAATTACAAGATGTTTAGGTGTGTAAAATAAATTGATGTATATTATTGATTGATGTATTGTTTGAAGAAGCCGTTCGTGAAGAACAAAAGTGATGGTTCCGTCGTCGCACATTTGTCGATTAGCTTCTCTGGTTACTTGCCGAGAAATCAAGAAAAATGGGTTTGGCAGTAGATTGGGTTTGATATGTATATATGTATATGTCTGTACACATGATCAAGAAAAATAGGTTTGGATTTGGACAGTGAACTAGGTTTGATATTATATATATGTACACATTTTCTACACATGAAAATAGATTTCTCAATCTGTGATTCTCTAATTCACAGATTTGACTGGTTTCTCTCTATACAGTTATATATATATTGTGGTATAAAAGTGGGTTTGGGTAGTCAAAATGTTTATCTTTTATCAATGCAAGATGTCTATTCATATAATATACAATATGTTTTAGAGAGAGAAAGAGAGATTTGCAAACCCAAGAACAATATCATCAAAGGGTTTAGGTTTGATTTGGCCTCATAGTAGTGGATGATGATAGAGTAAGGATAGACCATGGTGTGGGTGCATCGGTCTATGATGGTTGGGATGGAAGGTGAAGATGGTGGATGGAATGTGGAGATAGCGGATGTGAGAGCTTTGAGAGAGAAATATAAGAGAAGATGAAGTTGAGGGTAAAATGGAAAATTCACATCTTGTATAGGATACTAAGGTCAATGAAAATTTTATGTTAGTTTTGTTAAGAGACAAATACTAACAGCGTCTAGCGTAATTTTTGAAATCTTACAGAGAATTCGATTTTAAAAATAAACTTTAGGGATGTCAGTGTAATTTATCTTAAATTTCATTTTATAAATAAATTTTATAATACATAATTTCAATCTTCACCACATAATTTATTGTTTGCCAAAATTTGAGACCCAAAATTTGAATGCCTCCACTTTCTCTATATGTATCTAGGGCTAAGTTCCCTCTCATATGTCATCTCTTCATATCCATTCATACTTCCCTTGTGGGTTTCAATTCAGACTCAATTTGATGATTCAAACTGTCTATTTTATAGGCTTCATAGTAAATGTTGTTCATACAAAAATTAAAATTTATCAGACAACTATAAATACAGAAACAAATCACGTTTTATTTTACAAAATAAATAGTTTAAATTTACAATCCTATTTTGTATTCATTTTATAAAATAAAATGCATTTTTTTTTTTGTTTATAGATATTCGATGAAATTATTTTTTTGTATTAAATAACCTTTATTACGAAACCTAAGTAGACAGTTCAGATTATCGATGTGGGTCTAAATTTAGACACACAAGAAAAGTATAGATGAGTACAGAGAGATGCAAGTATAAATGAGAACTTATCGCATCTATCTATCTACAATCTTTATAGTGAATCCAAAATTTTAATTACGAAATTCTACCTAAAAAGAAATTGTATGGTTGAGATTTAATTTGTATGTTGTGAATCTTTATATAAAATGAATCTAAACTATTTATGAATGATTCTGAGTAAATTTATAGATAAAAATTATGGATTTAAGACTAATTATCTAAACAATACAATTTTTTAAAAAAAATTCACATTCTCTAAGCAGTTCCTATGAAGTAAAAATACTATGAATAGGTTAGAGGGAAAAAAAGAAAAGAATAATATCATTCACACACTTGTGTCATCCTTCTAGTACACACACACACACACACATATATATATATATATATAGATATGAGAAAAAAGTCTATTTTTATGAGTGTTTATGGCATTATGTTCAACAATTGATTTATTTTGTTAATAAGGATGTGCTATTAGTTTGAATGAAAATAATAAATTATTATTTTGAAGAATTTTTCTTTTTATTTTTACCCTTGAGTTGTTATAACTCACAAACTGAATAGTTTGAATTATCAAAATAATACTCATGATGAACTTCATGAGCCTAAAAAACACCCTTCCATTCAAATTTGAAACTTGAGGAAATCTGTTCCCTTTTTATAATGTGTATAATTAAGTTGAGCTAATTTAGTTAGTTATTTTAAAAACTTCATAAGTTTTAAAATATATTTAAATTTGATTTGTTTATTTTTGAAGCAAAGATTAACTTAATTTTTTTATATAATACCTATAATTAGGCTAATTAGTAAGTTGTTTAAACTTGGAAAATTTATCATTCAAGACAGATTTTGAAAAATTATTACACATTAGTAAAAAAAATTTATGATTTTAGTTATTAATATTTTATCATTTTTTTGTAATATATTTTTTTTCTGACAACACTAAATCGTAATTTCACCTTTAAACTTACCTTAAAAAATATTTAATTTTAACTCATTTAAAAATAATAATTTAAAAAAAAAAAAAAAAAACCAAGTCAAAGTCAAGTAACTTTGTTTTACATACAGGGCAGCACTCATATCATATCTATAAAATCCTTGAGAGTGTGCTTCATTATCTGCTGTGAGTGCAATGTGCATGTTAAAAGCTAGCTACGAATTGCTTTGCTTTTAAAACAAAACTCTATAGAAAACAACCCCAGAAGCAGCAAAGGCAGAGAGGCAAAGCCACTTGACAACAATAAATAGTTGCAACAACAGCCACGCACTCGATCGAGTACTAAGTAAGAACTATGATGGAGGAATCAGATTCAATAACATCTGAGCTTCAAGAATTGCCAGGTTTTCGGTTTCACCCCACCGAGGAAGAACTTCTCAGCTTCTACCTCAAAAACATGATTTTCGGTAAAAAACTGCGCCCTGATATCATCGGTTTCCTCAACATCTACCATCATGATCCTTGGGATTTGCCCGGTATGCATTCTTCTCCGAATAAATTATAAGTCTAATATCAAATAAATTAATTACGGAATCAGTTATAATATGTATAAATAATAAAAAATTTGAACCCCCAAACTTTTTGAAATCTTTATTGTTTTATAAGTTTATAAATACTTCTTTCAATTTGTCCTTTCTAAATTTGAGTATATACTCTTATATATATTTTTCTAATTTTAAAATAGTTCCTATAATTTCCCTTATTTAAATGTTTATTTTATGACAAAAATTACTTTTATTATGTTATAAAGTCTATCTTTAACTGTTTATTTTCTATTTTTTTTTTAAACTGTTTATTTTCTATTCTTTTTTATAATCCTTTCTAATTTATTTTTATTGTTTTTTTTCTCCTTCTATGATAAATATATGTACAAATATGTAGAATGATTACTTACTTTTTTTAATGAAATCTCTCAATAAAAATAAAAATAAAGTGCAACGGAGTGAATAACACTATTATAGACATTAATATTTTATTTTATTTTATTATTGCCTCCTTTGAATCAACATCGTGACCCCACCACTGATGGTACTGCTGCTTTTGAACCCTTACAAACTTGTTACTAGTTTATTTATTTATTTGGATATACATTGTTAGGCATTTGCATAAGTTTTTGACACAATCGATTTAGCTTTTTAAAAATTGAATTTTATATATATTTTTTGTTTTTAATAAATATTTTTAAAATTTTAAGTAATTTTTTTAAAAAAAAATTCAAATGCACCTTATTTAGATGTATCTAAATAGTAAAATATTTGTAAAAAAATAATTTTAAAAATTTAATAAATACACAAAAATATAAAAAATGTATTGAATTTTTGTTTTGTTATTTATTTATTTATTTATTTTTGGTATTTAGTGAATTTTGTAAAGATTTTTTTTCAAATATTTATTTATTTTTGGTATTTAGTGAATTTTGTAAAGATTTTTTTTCAAATATTATATTTTTTAAGTGTATTTATGTTATGCGTGTCTAAAAATTAAAATAATGACTTAAAATATGAAAAAAATTCAGTGAAAACAAAAAAATATGAAAAGCGAAAAAATAAAATTTTCTAAAAAGTAAATTCTAAAAATTGAAACCAAATAGAGATTAGTTTTAAGAAATATTGTCGCCATTGTTATCTTTACTATTGTGTGCTCTATTTTTGTCTATCTTTTCTGTCATCATGCACAGAGTTGCATGTGAATGGGATTATTAACTTCATGTATATGTATATTGTTAGGTCTATTTTTTAACAGATTGATAACTTAAAAGTTTATTATATTAAGAGTCTCATGTGTTAAATCGTCTTTTTATAATATAATTGAAAAATGTGTGTATGTGGAACAGGGCTGGCAAAGATAGGGGAGAGAGAGTGGTATTTTTTTGTGCCAAGAGACAAGAAGCATGGGAGTGGAGGGAGGCCAAACAGGACTACTGAAACAGGATTTTGGAAGGCAACAGGGTCGGATAGGAAGATAGTGAGCTTATCGGAGCCGAAGAGGATGTTAGGGTTAAGAAAGACATTGGTGTTCTACAAGGGAAGAGCACCCCGTGGCTCCAAAACTGATTGGGTCATGAACGAGTATCGTCTTCCTGATTCCTTCCTCTCCCCCTCACTCTATCCTAAGGTATTATCAATTTCTGTTAATTTTATGTTTCTTATGTTCTCTTCAAATAATTTGTACATTTTTCACATTTGTAATAAAAGTCTTCCTAATAAGTGCCCTTCATGCACAAGAAAAAAAAACAAAAAATATAAAGATCCCAATATACTAAACACTAAATTTAATACACTTTTTATGAATTTCAAAATATATTTTAAAATTTTCTTACACTTTTTAATAGAAATTTCTCACACTTTTAATTATTAAAATACCCTGGAAATACCCTTGCAGTGAACCAAAATCACTTCATAATTCACAACACAACTACCCTATTTGTATTTTTTTGAAACAGTAATCCTAGAATCATTAATAAATGTATCAATATATATACTAATTAAGACATAAGGTTCACTTGATGTGAGACCCACTTAGCCTCGTTTGGGCATAGGGTATTTAGTAATTTTTTAATTTTTTGATTAAAATATGAGAAAAAAAAAAGTATACTTAGAATGACTTTTTCATTTTTTACGAAAAGATATGTAAAAAATAAAGAGAAAAGAGAATTTTTAATTTTTTGATATAGATTTTTAATTTTTTAATTTTTTTAATAATTTTTTAATTTTTAGATTAAAATATTGAATTGCCAAACCAGTGGGTAGGTTTATTGATATGGAGTTCACAGTTTTGTTGGGTGAGAAATAAGCACACTAATTCACTTATTTATTTATTTATTTTAGTGTGAGAATAAGCCATGGGCACAAAGTTCACTCTTATTTATTTGGGGTAAATTATTAATAGATCTTAATAGTTGGACTTAATTTCTATCAAGTTTTATTAAAACTAAGTGCTAATAAAATTGTCGCTAAAAATAACTATTTGTGATTATTTTTTACATGTCGCTAAAAATTAACAATTAGCGACTTTTTTTGTCACTGTTTTAATATATTATAGCTAAAACTTACAATTAATGACATTTGTATGTGATGAATTTTTTAAACTATTGTTGAAAGTTGAAAGTTGAAAGTTGAAAATGAGTGGCATTTTTTTGCGACGATTTTTTTAAAATGTCGTTAAAATTTATAATTACTGACATTTATTGTGACAAAATTTTCAAACTATCATTAAAAATTAACAATTAGTGACATTTTTTTTACTAGTGTTTGATTGAAAAAGCCATTAATCCATCATAGAACCTATTGGATAATAAATCCACTTATTATGATTTAGGAAAAATTATTCAATAATCCGGGAGTACCACATGTCCATACTCCTTAGCCAATTATCATTCAATATGTCCCCTCATGTTTCTCAATCACCTAACATAATACCCCACCTATTCACCTTATCCACCAATCACAATGTTATGAAGTACCACGTGTCTATACTTCCAGATTACTGAATAATTACCCATAATCTAAACATAAGTCCTACGTGAGAACACTTACTATTCACATTTATAGTCTATTTTTGTGCAGAGTGACTTTTAATATCAAGACTTTTTACCCTCATCTTTATTCTTTTTATTTTTTAAACAATCACCTTTCAACATCCAAATCAATTGAAAATGAGTAATAACATATAAACGTAATTTTTGCACAAAATTTTCATATATTTATAGTCCTTTTATTTTTATCTATCTGTAAGATGATGGGTCCATCAACTGACAAGTTTTTTGTGATTTGGTGTGGTTTGATGCAGGACATAGTGTTGTGTAAGATATACAGGAAGGCAACTTCCTTGAAGGTGTTGGAACAGAGGGCAGCAATGGAAGAAGAAATGAAGACAACCCTTCCACTTCTTTTACCTTCTCCTCCAATGACACCACCATTAATGGACACCACAATATCCATTTACAGTCAAAACGAAAGCTTGGTGATGGCACCAATGGTTGCACAACATGTGGCATTCAAGAAAGAACATGATCATGAAAATAATGAGCTATTAACAATGGTAGAAGAGGAAAAGTATGAAGAAGAAGCAAAGCAGGAGAGGAAAGGGAAGTTGCCAGAGCTCCAAGTGCCAAGGTTCAGCATGGACTGGACCCAAGACCCATTTTGGACACAGCCAAGAAGCCCATGGCTAGACAATTGGACCCCTTATGCTAATGTACCCAACTTCTAATTATAAGTTTCCCTGTTTTCTAGGCTATGCTTAAAGTGAGTGAATCAAAATAGAAGTACAATAGCCAAAGATAAATCAATTATAGAATCTGATCACTGAATCGAACATAACCCTTCCACATGAGATGAGACTCACGTGAGAGAATTGTGTTTGATTCTGCGATTGGATTATGTACACTTATAATTTTTAGTAAATAAATTCCTCCACAATTCTAATTAGGGCTGTTTTGCCATCTTGGTTGCCTTCGTTGTAGTGATGAATCAAAAGTTTTGAGGACAAGCTTAACTTTGTTTATGTAAATCAAAGTATAAAAAATGGAGCGGATAAAATATTTAGATCATACCTTTAGATGATAGAACCTCGTGGATAAATCACGTGCTTCCAGAATCTGATAAACCAACCCAGTAGTGAAGTGATATTACAGAATGAATATCACCAACACAAATCACAGTGCAAATGACTTGATTGTTGTTTTGGGGAGAGAGTCAGTATATGGGTAAAACTCATATCATACGTTGTTTCTCTCTTAATCACCCATAACCCATATACTAGATATATATTTTGTTATTATTATCTATCCATATCAGTTAATGGAGATAATATCTGTATCCTGAGTGGTTATCCTAAATAGGTTTAAATTCAATTTTAAAATCTATTTGGATAAGGTTCAAATTTAAATTCAAATGGTCATGCCACATGGGCGCCCATTACTAACATCTCCCACTCGCACATGAGTTGGCATGACACTGCCACATCTCTATCTCAATCTCCCCAAAAATGAACAATCTCATACTAGCTACTGCACCGTGCGACTGCTGAGAACACCTGCATGTGGGAGCTCTGTACTAGAAACTCAAAATGAGCCAGCATCGAGACATCAACCCAAAAAGAACAGAAATAGTGTCTCATATACCCCAGACCCATCTAATTACACCGGTCCAAAAAACATCTCTAATCCCTCAAAAAGAGCATGTTTGACCCTCTCAATTCTTGCAATATATTCACACTCAATTCGCCTCTCATACAGAGCGATGTGAGTTGCCGGCAGTGAATATACAACAGTGGTGTAATACTAGATGATCTTCCCTTTGCACTCATGCCATTTAGTTTAGGATTGACCGCTTTCCCAGTGATGTCCCTTAAGGCCGAATCATGCATGACCGCAGGCAACATACCAAAGTAGCAGAACATCAACCCCTTACCTTATGACATAGTCAAAAGTCACAAAAGGGTACATAAATGAAAGTCATATCAATAATGACACGTAAGACTCAAACGATGAGGAAGC